TCCATGTTGGTGCGAGCATTGCAAAAAAATCATGTCATACGAATGTGTGGGCAATTTTTTTTTTGAAATAAGATTTTAAAATTTAAATTTAATAAATATATAATGTAATTTTAATTTTTTGGGAAAATGGTATATATATATATATATATATTATTTTTGGGATAAAATTATTTTGCTAAAGCAATACTGAAATGAAAAAATTCACACAACAACAATCAAACACAAACGAATTACGTGGTTCGATGTTGAATTGATTCGCCTATGTCCATGAAAAAGGAGACTTTTTCGCTAACGAGATGGGTAGAAAGAAAAAAAGTTAACGGTTACAACTTCTACACTTCTCACCATAACTTTCATGAACTCTATTCTCTTTTATAGATGATGAACATACAAGTAAATAAATCCATAAAAATCAAATTACCCCTAATTTAAGAAAATCATAAATATAATAATCTCCACCTCATTTCTTACTTCTAGATAAGTGAGAGGTGATCAAATGAGCTCCAAATTCCAATTCAGCTGCACTAAGATGGTTGCCTACGTATCCTCTCCTGAATGAATCAAATCTCACGTAATTATTCAAAATGACTGAATGGGCAATCAACCATAAGCTCTAATGTTCACCAAACTCCTGTAATAAAAGAACTTATGAACTGGCAGTACCCTCGTGAGCATGTCTATTGGATTCTCCTTCGTATCTATCTTCATCAACATAACCTTGTCGTCATCAATCAAGTCTCGAACAAAGTAGTATCTTACATTAAAGTGTTTAGTATGAGCATGATGAACCAAATTTATGTCCAACAATATCGTACTTTGACTATCACAGAACACTATCAGAGTCTCCTGGTCAACTCTCAAGTCATCCAATAGGACATGCTTCGATATTGCTTCCTTCATCACCTTCGTGACCACCATGTACTTAACCTCCATAGTAGATAAAGCAACAGTAAACCGAAGAACTTATTACCAACTGACTAAAACTAGGGGTTTCAAAACTTGACTCGAAACACCAACACAACTAAAACTCAACTCAAAAAATTCAGGTTAGGGTTGACCCAAATATTTTTCGACTCTAGTTCGGGAAAGAGAATTTGACCAGTTTATTATTCACGTCGGGTTCAGGATGAACCTGAAAATCTAAACATTACTAAATAGGCACGTAAGTTCTGGTTAGGATAAGCTAAGTGGGCCAAGCTCCAGTTCGGGTCATAGTATTTAACTAGTTTACTATTCAGATAGGGTTTGAGTTGACCCTATTCAGGTCGTTTCATTTTCTGTTTGGACACTAAATTGACTCTCTAACCTGAATTGATACCCCTAACTGAACCTTTTGCCAGTGTAAATTAATAGTCAGTCGTACATCTCTGCCTATCCATATCACCTGTACAGTCTGAGTCAGTGTAGCTTACACACAAATCTGTAATAGATATTTTTCACTCAAACACCAAAACAATATTAATTGTTCCATTCATATACCTCAAATTACTCTTTACAACTTGTCAATTTTTCCTTTCTAGATCATGCATGAATTTTCTCACAACACCAACTTCTTGTGCAATGTTTGGTCTAGTACAAGCTATAACGTACATCAGTCTGCCCACTACACTGGCATAAGGAACCAGTCACATATCTTTCCATTTCTGATCTTCTGAACTTAAATGAAATTAAGATGCAATAGGTAGACTCATAACCTTGCTCGAGTCATCAATCCTAAATTTCTTCAGCAGCTTCCACACATAAATCTCTTGTGAAAGCTAAACCTTTCCAGCTATCTTGTTCCAGAGAATCTCAATGCCAAGAATTTTACAAGCTTCACCCAACTCTTTCATTTTGAAATTTTGGATAATTGATTCTTCATCCTATCAACCTTAATCTGACTAGCAATTGCAATCAACATATCATCAACATAAAAAAAATAAGTAAATGAACTCATTGTTGGTCGACATATCATCACTAACCTCAAGTAACATTCTTTCAAAGAGACTCCATCTCTTCATTCATTAATACTCTCCAAAGATCATAGTTTGGACTGTCCACCACTTCTTTGTAGTGACAAGTAATTTTTGTCTTTGTGGATGAAAGTGTAAATGCAATGTGATCCTTCAACAAAGCTGGTTTTGAGACATTCTTTTGTGTGGTCCTGCTCCTAGAAATATATTCCTAAGCACGAGTCTTATTGTCAGCATCTTCTGTCACCACCTCTTGAGCACTATCAACAGATATCTCCTAAGTTATAACTAAATCATGTATTTGAGTCAGAGTGAATGAACTTTATAGAATAAATAGAATTGAATCAAACTCCAACTTCTATTGCATATTTGTGGTCCCACTAGAATTCTCTATCTATTTTGAGACTAGATTTTTTAATAAAATTTCCTTGTTGAATGTAACATCCCTGCTAATGACAATCTTCATTTCTGACTAATCATTTAAATTGAAGCCCTTGAGTCTACGCCTGAAACCAATGAAAATCACCTTATTTGCGCGTGGTTCCAATTTATCATTCAGCACGTGATAGTAAGCTAGACATCCAAACACTCTCATGTGCTCATAATCTCTAACAGGATGCCCAAACCACATCTTCTTATGGGTCTTCTTCCTAATAGCTACAAAAGGTAAATATATCACCTAAGTGACAAGCACAGTTTATGACTTTGGCAAAATAAAATATATCAAATACATCGAACTTCCTTAACAAATGTCCAGTTCATCCTCTCTGTCACCTTGTTTTGTCGCAGTGTCTTTCAAACAGTGAAATGATGCTCTATCCGAGCTCTCTGAGACTCTTGCAAGAACGCATCCAAAGTTTTTTGCCCACATTATATAATCTAATACACGAGTTTTTTTTACTAGTCTGAATCTCAATCCACTTCTTCCAAGTTACAAAAATCTCGAACACTTCACTTTTGTCCTTCATGGTATACACCCAAACATACATGGAGTCAATAAAGTAGATAACGTATCTATGTCTGTTGAATGTTGTCGTCTTTATTAGACTCCATATATTTGTATGAACATAATCTAAGATATATTTTATACTGTGGATGACAATACCATAAAATATTCACATCTTCTTGTTGAGCATAAAAAATTCACATAAATCAAGCTTCCAAGTGCACCCTCATTTGATCAATCCTTGTTTCACCAAAGCCTAAAGTAAGCCTCTCCAGTATAAACTAGCCACATATGCCACAACATTGTGGCGTCAGAAAAATCATCAGCAACAATAGACGTTCCAGTCACTCTACTACCCTTAAGTTAGTAAAGATTGTGATGACAAACTCCCTTCATAAAAATCATTGCTCCATGACATATTCTCAGAACTCCTTTCTCAATAACAACCTTGTAGCTCTTGGACTGTAAAGAGCTTATTCTTTCTTATATCTAGAATGTGTTTAACATCAGGTAGCTCTCTCATAGTGCATTCATGCATCCTGATAAAGATACTCCCTAAACCTATAGTACGATAAGTTTGATCGTTGCTCATAGTCACATCATCATTATCTAGCTCCTTGTACGTACAACACCACCCTCAATGAGAACAAATGTCATAAGTGGCACGTGTTTCTAGAATATAGCACTAATCATCTCTAAATAAATTGTGAGAAATTACAGATAGTGATACAGATGAATCTGCCTCTTCATATCTTTCCACAATAATATTAGCTTTTGCATCAAATGTAAATTCTTTTCCATTCTTCTTCAACTTCAAACAATCTTTTTTTCCCAATGAACGCCTCTTAACAAAGAGCACACTGATTTTTTTCAAAATTGCGCAGACAAGACTTACACCGCTTTTGAAAAGAGTCACTGCTACTACATTTCTTTGTCGAATTCTTCTTCTTATTCTCATATATGTCTCGTTGAGTGCATGTTTCTCATCTAATTCCATCTTAGGGAACTCTTTATCCCTTCAAAAGAACTCGTGATTCAACAACGTTATAGTCACTTAACCATAACTTAAAACCTCCTACCTATGAATGAGTGTAAACGTTAAATTTTTTGTACTCATCTGAGAGCGAATTCTACATAAGGAGCGCTCTGTCTTCGTCTTTGACCCCTCATCCAAATTTAACGGATCTATTAACAATTTTGTGAAGTCATTCAAGTGCTCATCAATAGTAACCCCCGTCTTATTAGAAATATATACTCGACACTTAATATGAAGATGGTTCTCCACGCTCTTCATGAGATGTTTGTTATTAGCATCCTGCACAATTTTCCTGTGGAAGTCTCCATCATCACTCTATATTTGATTTCCTTGGTCAAGTAATTTTAGATCAAGCCACAAGCACTCCGGTTAGGGGTGTGAACGAGTCTAGTCAAGCTTGAGCTGCCCTCATCTTGAGCATGAGCTTAATTAATTTTATTGAACTCGATCTTGAGCTCTAGCTTAAGTCTTTGAGCTTCAGCTGGCTCACGAGCTGACTTTGTTTAATATAAAAGAGAGAAAATAAAATTAATTTAAAATAACTTTATAATTAGTTGACAAATAAAATGAACAATTAGGAGATAAATAACCTAATGTACAATAAATATGCTATTTTCTTAACATTTTTAAAACCTTAAAGATAAAGTTTTGAAATTTAGTATATTTTGAGTATATATGATGGTAATATTTATTTAAATGAGTCGGATCACAAGCTAACCATTCAAGTCGGGGCTGGCTTAAGCTTTGTTTGTTATCTCATCAAGTTCAGTTCACAAGTCATTTATCGAGCCGAGCTCTAGTCGGCTCACAAGTCGGCTTAACTCACTTGCACCCCTAACTCCTGCTCATCTTTTACTAATTTCTCTATGACATCTTTTCAGAACATTCCTCATTATCAAAGATTTCCTTCATAATCAAAGAGCACATCGCATCCATCAGCTCACATAGTCACATTCCAAAGTTTCATTTGTCATCGAACTTCGTCACATCAACTTTGATGGTATGCATTGATGAATCGATTTTTCAACCCTCATAGTGGACGTCGACAAACCTGAGATATTATTATCATTTATTGTTCTCACTATTAAAATTTCTTTCCCAAAAAACTTTCTTAACGAGAATAGCCGGAGAAAAAAAATAACAAAAAATCTTCACCTAAAAAAAAAGAAATAAATCTATGAAAATAAATTTTTTTTTCTATAAAATTATTTTTTATTTTTTTTCTTTCCTCTGAGATTTTCTCTTAAAAAAAAATTTCCCTAAACCTTTTTTTTTTTCCAGAAGCCCCCTATCCTATAAAAAGTCTCCTTTTTCTTTCAAAGAAAACCTCTCCTTTCCCTGATTCCACCCAAGCGCCTTTCCTGAAATTCTCAACAATTTCCCTGTAGCCGAAATTCCTCCGTCCTAGGAGTAACGCTTTAAAGTTTCCCACGAAATATTTGTTTCCCTGCTTAAGAAAATTTTTTAAAGTTTTTTTTTCAAAAAATAAAAAAAACCAAAACTTTCTTTTTTCTTTGTTATTCACCAAAAGCATGTTGTTCCTTCACCTGCTTGTCGGACCTATCATTGGACTGCCAGACCTATCAAAATCGCCGCCGCACTGTCAAACCCACTGTCAGAGCTGCCAAAAGAGCCGCCTTTCTTTTTCAGAACCATCGTTGTATCCCTGTGTCGCGATCCCTCGGGCCGCATGTCTAATCTTCGCGTCCAAGTCACATGCCTGCCACTGGTCTACCGCCAAACCTCTGAATCTGCCGACAAAGCACATCAGACCACAAGCGACAACAAACTTTGATAACATGTTTGAATTGCTGCTGTTGAAGTCGAACCATACTCCGATCACATGAATCTCTAATATCAATTGTTATGCGGAAACAATGTAGAACAAAAATATTCACACAGTAACTGCAAGAAAACATAAGATTTACATGGTTTAACATTGAATTGATTCACTTACATCTACGATGAGGGAGATTTCACTAGCACCAGATGTGTAGAAAGAAAAATAGCTTGGGATTATAACTTTTGCACTCTAACCATTACTCTTTCATGAACCATAAATCCCTTTTGTAGAGGAGGATTAGAGCATGCAAATAAATAAAGCCAAAGATTAAATTACCCTAATGACAATAATAGCCACAAATGTCAACTGCCTATCTCCTCTGAAACTGCGTCACTAGAGCCGCAATCCTTCCCATTGCACGCTGAATCATCATATCCAAGCCGAAGGTCAGTCGTCTCATTGTCGCCGATACTCTGAATCTGCGGGCAAAGCATGTCGGACCACAAGCTGCAACAAACTCCAAAAACACACGTCGTATTTATTATTGACGATGTCGAACCATACTCTGACCAAGAACCCAAATATCTTATACCAATTATTATGCAGAAAAAAAAAAATCACACAATAACAATCAAACATAAAAGATTTATGTGGTTCATCGTTGAATTGATTCACCTATGTCAACAAAAAATGAGATTCCATCTACACTTCTCAACATACTCTCACATGAACCCTAAGTGTCTTTTATAGAGGAGGATTAAAATGTATAAATAAATAATGTGAAAAGATCAAATTACACATAATTACAGTAAAAAACCATATATACAACAATAATAATTATAGGATATTTTTTTATTATTTGCTTACAAATCCAATAGTTATTGATTTTGAATTAGTTATCACTAAAATCTTATAATTTATAGAAAAATAGGTGTTTTGATATTTAGCACATGAATTTGATGTATTCACATATTGTTGGGTAATGTGGAGACCCGGTCCACCGAAATTTAATTAGCTTCTTAATTAATAATCTCACATACTGCCCACCTACTTTCTCACCTACCTCCCACCTACCTCTCACCTACCGCTATCAAGGTTTCTATGAATATCCTCTTTTGGCTTAAAGGAGAAGTCAAGCCAAGCAAGACCAAGCCAAGTCCTCTTGAGAGCTAAGAGAAAGAGAGGAAGAGAGAGAGAGAGAGAGAGAGGAAGGGAGAGAATAAAATAGATATTTTCTTGTAAACGTTGAGGCGCTCGATGGTGTAATTACTCGAAGAAATAAAATCCTCTGCAGCTCCGTGGACGTAGGAAAATTTGCCGAACCACGTAAATTCGTGTGTCGCTTTGGTGTTTTTTTACTTTATTGCCGTCGTTTTTCACAACTGGTATCAGAGCCCCGGTTTTGATCTAAGGAAAAACGATGGGCGAAGACGAAGTGATGACATCAGAGATCGAGAAGTTCAAGGGCACATATTTTGCTTACTCGAGGACGTAGATAGAGGACTACCTCTATGGGAAGAAACTTCATCTTCTGTTACTTGGAAAACGACTATAAAGATGGACGTGACGGAATGGAATATGTTGGATCGACAGGTTCTGGGGGTTATAGGGTTCTGGGGGTTATACGATTATTATACGATTAACCCTGTCGAGATCGGTTGCCTACAACGTCATCAAGGAGATGACTACTACAGATCTCATGGCAGTTTTATCATGTATGTATGAAAAGCCATTGGCAAATAACAATGTGCATTTGATGAAAAAGTTATTCAACTTGAATATGGTGGAAGGCGTCTCTGTTGCTCAACACCTGAATGATTTCAATACTATCACAAATCAATTGTCGTCTGTTGAAATTGATTTTGATAATGAGATATGTGTGCTGATATTGTTGGCTTCATTGTCAAATAGCTGGGAAGCTATGTGAATGGAAGTTAGCAGTTCTGCAGGTAAATCTAAGCTGAAATATGATGATATTCATGATTTGATTTTGACTGAGGAGGTGCGCAGGAAAGATTCTGGCGAGACCTCGGATTCGAGTTCGACGGTGAATGTTGATTCCAGAGGGAGATCGCAAAATAGGAACTCAAACAGAGGAAGATCAAAATCAAAGTCTGGTCAGCATGCAACTTGTTGGAATTATGTGTGGCAAGGCTGGCCACTTAAAAAGGAACTACATGAATCCTAAGAAGAAGAGAATGATGACGCTAAAGTTGTAACTGAAGAAATACATGATGCACTATTGTTGAGAGTTCACAGTTATGTTGATGACTGGATACTAGATTCAGGGGCTTCCTTCCATACATCTTCCCGCAGGGAGTTAATGTCAAATTATGTTGCACGTAACTTTAGGAAGGTATATTTGGCTGATAAAAAAGCTCTTGACTTGGTGGGGATGAGAGACGTTGATATTGCACTCCTTAACAAGAGCAAATGGACTGTGCAAATGATCATACACGTTCCTGAGTTGAAGAAAAACATCATCTCTGTTGAGCAGCTCAATAATGTTTGTAATTCAGTAGTGTTCTCAGATAGCACCTGGAAGGTTACCAAAGGAGCAATAATACTGGCTCGGAGTAAGAAAACTGACGCACTATATATGACTACAGGTTTATTCAGGCGTGGACACATGAGTCAGAGGTGCATTATGAGGAAGCAGAGGAATGTCAGTTTCCTGAAAAGCGGTAGAGCGCCAAAGCTAGGAAAACCGGACCTTGTACAGACAAATGATGGAGAACCACAGAGTTATGAAAAAATTTTGCAAGATGAGAATTCGATGAGAATTCGAGCAAGTGGAAGCTCGAGCAAGTGGAAGCTGGCCAAGAACGAGGAAACAGATTCCCTGCCAGAGAATCAAACTTGGAAGCTGGCAGAACTTCTAACAAAGAAGAAGACATTGCACAACAAGTGAGTGTACCGGGTGAAGACTGCACTGGCAGTAAGAGGTACAAGACTGAACATGTTGAAAAGGCTTCAGCAGAAGCAGTATATTGCTCATGCAGTGGGAGTTGTAAGAAGATACAGGAGTAACCCAGGAAAGAGCTTGGTGGTACAATGCTACGTTGATGGTGATATGTCAATTGAGGGTGTTACTCGTGAGAAGCTGAAGTTGTGCTAAACTTCAAATGGTCTTCTGATAAGAAGAAAGGGATTTGAGTTGCAGAGGTGGATGATATCATGTTTGAAGAAAAGCTCCGTACAACTAGTAGATGATGCTGCCAGTAGGTGTTGCATTCAGTGTCTCAGTCTCTAAGTGGGAGAATTGTTGGGTAATGTGGAGACCCGGTCCACCGAAATTTAATTAGCTTCTTAATTAAGAATCTCATCTACCGCTCACCTACTTCCCCACCTACACCTTTTGCTAACCTACCTCCCACCTATCGCTCTCACGGTTTCTATAAATAACCTCTTTTGGCTTAAGGGAAAAGCCAAGCCAAGAAAGCCAAGCCAAGTCCTCTTAAGAGCTAAGAGAGAGAGAGAGAGAGAGAGAGAGAGAGAGGAAGGAAGAGAATAAAATAAAGATTTTCTTGTAAACGTCAAGACACTCGACGGTGTAATTTATTGAAGAAATAAAATCCTCTTGAGCTCCGTGAACGTAGGCAAATTTGTCGAACCACGTAAATCAGTGTGTCGCTCTGGTATTTTTCTGCATGCAATTTTACTCGTTCCATTTTTCGCTTTATTGTCGTCGTTTTTCACAACCTCATACCAAAGTTTTCATATTTATATACATAACATTTAAATTTTTAATAACAAATTCGAAAATAATAATAATTAAAATTTTTAAAAATAAAATATATTTTGTTGTATAAATTTAAAATATTTAAGTGTTATATATGCAAATATAAAAGTTTAGAGGTGAGATACATAAATAAGAAATGGGTGCTACTTATATAAATTTAAAAGAAAAAAAACTATTAAGAGTCCTGATGAAAACCGACCTGAACATTCCAGGTGTTGATGTTGCTACTAGCCTCCGCCGCCTCTTCTTCCTCCAGTGAAACAACTAATCCTCCCCTGCTGCCACCTTGTAGCTGTAGCAAAAGCTTATCGTCCGCTCCTTGCTTCCTCCACCGCTGCTCGAAGTTGCTCAACACGTCCCATGCTGCCGCACCTTCTACTCGGCAGTGCACGTCGTGCCACGGCTCCCTCGGACCTCCCTTCCTCAATGCTGCGCCAGGGAAGTTGGGCTGGTGAAAGTCGTTTCGGTGCTCTCTAGCAAGTGTGTGAAAGAGGGAATGCTTCTGCGTATCGTATCGCCCGTCGCAGAGGTCTATGCCACCAAGGAAGCACACAATCCTCCGCCGCGCCGCCGCCCACTCTCTTCCTTTCCGAAGTCGCGTCCCAGTCTCTCTCGCCGCTGTACGTGCGCAGTCCACTATAAGGGTTTTTTGGTGGTGCGTGAACATGGTGGCGATCTCCAAACCCTGCAAGTGAAAGATATGACACATGAAACATAAAATTATTTATATAAAAACATTAAAAAAAATAAACATAAAATTTTCCTCAATTAAAATCATTGCACTCTATATTTTGAAAATTGACAAAATTTTAAAATACTTTTTATTTAAAAAAGTATTGAATCTTATAAAATAAATATAATGTTGACTATTTATTTATTTATATGTCATTTAAAATAGATTAAATAATATTTTGAGGTCGATGCCTGACCAATAAAAGTACCTGGACGTAGCTCTCCCCAACGTCAGGGTTCCGCGGGCAGAGCACGCAGTGAACAGCTGAGTCACGAAAATACTCCGCCGTGTCCTGGTCATGCGTCTGCATCACTCCATCTTTCTTCAGTTCACCGACCGAGCTCCGGTCATCCCACACCAACATCAGTACTCTCACTCCCTCCCCAGCTTTCCTCTTCAGCATCAGCCCAATCGTCGTTTCCCCAGCTTCCGCTCTCTGCCTTTCCCTAACCAAACTAATCTCCGAGTAAACCGACCACCCTGCAATATAAATAAAATTCTGCGCTCTCGAAATTGCATCAAACACATCCTCCCAACACCGCCCCGGCCGAAACATCTCACCACCAGCGAGTGGTATTCTCGGCAAAAAACTCCCGTCGACATGTGCGTCGTGGTAGAGTGTCACCCTGCATCTCTCCCTTTGCTTGAAGAAAGTATTGGGAACTCCCCTTCCCCATCCGCCGACATCGTAGCCCAAGATGGAGGTGTACCGGACTTTGACGTGAATTCGTCCGGCGAGGGGGCGACGATCTTCATCGCAGATGTCGAGGAAGGTGTCGATAAGGTAATTGTTGAGGAGGGTGGTGGCGGGAAGAAATGCGCGGCCCAGGAGTGTGGCGCCGATGGGATTGTCGGATTTGAGGGTGAAGATGACGTGATCGGCCATATGGGCGCAATAGATGCGGAAGGATTCATCCCAGAGAGGGTTAGTGGGGTCGCTAGCGATAAACAGGCGAGTACGTCCAACGCGGGCTTTATCTAAGTCGACGGTGGCGTATACTTTGGCCCTTGGCGTCCGCGCCATCGTGTTCTGAATGTCGCCGGCGAGCCGCTGCAATTTTAAGAAATTCTTCTAGAAAGCAAAGTTCTAGGTTTAATTAATGGCGTGTAGGAAGAATGAGATGAGTTACTTACGCCGGGAAACCATGAGGAGACCCGCCTGATACAGGAACATCTCTTTGCCAACCACTTCTGTGCCAATTTTGTTTGCAATATGTGCAATATGTAAAAATGATTTAGTTGATCTAACATTTAATAATTGGAACCGTGGAGGAAGAAAAATCTCTTGATTTTTGCTAGAATACATTTAAAATTTTGCAAGATTCAGTTCGTTTTCTAGGGAAAAAATAATTGCAGTGTTTTAACATCCAAAAAATAATAATTTATTTTTTCTTGAACTTTAAAATATAAGAAGAAGTTCCGGAACACAACGCATTAACACATTGATTGAAAGCAAAATAAATAATTGTAAGAGTTTCAAGGTAAAAATATATACGTATATATATAATCAAACAACCTGCCTTAGGACTCCATAGGGACAATTGTCTGTGAGTCCCACAAATAGAAGCCACGTGGAATCTAAGCCTCACAAATGAAAATAGGGAAAATAAATAAATCTCCGAGGGCGACCCGAAACGAAACACAATCCGATCAATTTCTCACCGCTTTCATAAAATTATTTCGCACCCGATGGAGTCGATACTGTTCTATTGTCTGCCGAAAAATTATTTCACAGCTCCGAACACATGCAACTAGGGATTTTGGAAGAAATATTTCTTCGATTTTGTGTTTGGTTTCGATGGACTTCTCCATTATACATCTGTTCTGTATTTATTATTCTTATAAAAGTTATGACACCTAAATAAATTGTTTTTATTCTATAACACACTAATAACAAACTAATAATACACCAATAACACTAATAACACATAATAGCACACTAATAACACATAATAACACACTAATAACACATAAAAAACATATAATATAAATAATAACACAATTATAAACTCTCTAGCTCGTGATATAACATGTGGAGAATATTTCATGCGTGTTATACCGTGGGTTATGACGCCACCTCACGTGTTATACAGCCGCTTTATAAGACTCCCTTAGCCCGCGGTATAACACGCATGTATAACACTTGGGGGATATTCCATGCGTGTTATACCGCGGGTTATAATGCCTTGAAACGTGTTATACAATCGCCCTATAACACGTAGGGTGATGTTATAACACGCGGTATAACAAGCAGGGAATTATCTCTACGTGTTATACCGCCGACTAGGGAAGTCTATAATTGTGTTATTATGTGTTATTAGTGAGTTATTATGTGTTATTGGGATGTTATTACATGTTATTAGTGTGTTATTATGTGTTATTATGTGTTTTTATGATATTATTGGTGTACTATTAGTGTGTTAATAATTTATAATTAGTGTGTTATAGAACAAAAATAATTTTTGAGATGTCATAACTTATATTTATTAATAACTTATATAAGGATAATAAAATTTAGGACATATTTATAATAGAGAAGTCCTTCGAAACCAAACAAAAAAACCCAAAGAAAATATTTCTTCCAAAAATCCCTAGTTGCATGCGTTAGAGCTGTGAAATATTTCTTCAGCTGACAATAGAACTGCAGGATTTCGTCGGTTGCGAAATAATATTATAAAAGTTGTCGGGAAATTGATCAAGTTGTATTTCGGGTCGCACGAAGCTTTATTTATTTTCCCAATTTTCACCTGTGAGGTCTGAATTCCACGTGGCTTTCGTTAATTGGACTCCGCAGGCAACTGTCTCTGTGGAGTCCTGAGGTAATTTTTTCTCCTGTTTTATTGCCTCCTTTGTTACTTGTGATTGAGCACAATAACTCCAACAAAATTGTGCTTAATGCTGAACAACCCAAATTAAAATAAATACATAAAAGGAAGATTTTTGCTAATACCCCTCAATTTTAATGTATTTATTAAATTTTAATTTTTACATATATATATATATATATATAGGAAGATTTTAGCTAATACCCCTCAATTTTAATGTATTTATTAAATTTTAATTTTTACATATATATATATATATATCTCCTTATAGATATATCAAGGGGTGTAATTAACTTGTTTTCTAGTAAAAATAATAATATTTTTCATGTGTTATGAAAGATTTTGATGGTATAAATATAAAAAAAATAAAAATTAGGTGTTAGATATGTTTATATATAGGAATTAGGTGGTTCATAAACCAAATATAAGTTAGTTGAGCTAGCTTGTTGATATATCTTACATAGAATATCAATGGATTGGGACTCAAAAAATTGATACTAATTAAGATAAAGAAATTACCCTCCTGCTTAATCTCGTAGTACCATTGGGCAACCCCAGTGGATGTCGCAATCCCTCGGCCTTCAAGATGTCCACATGCAGAATTCCATGAAGCAAGATCATTTTTCTCCACAAAAAGTTTAACCTACAGGCATCCAAAAACTATAATCCGAGATCAAGATTGGCTGAGAGAAGTAAGATTTTAATTTAGAGTATCTGATAAATGCAGATCCATCATAGTTAAAAATCAACATATATACGTTATGTATAATATAATTTTGATAAATCAATATTTTTGGCATATTTAAATTTCAAATTTAAATCAAATAAATCTATTTATACAATTTTATGCATCAAAATTGGACTACACCGATACATAACCAGCAGAACCAGTAGAAACTCACCTTCTTGTATAGTGTACAAAACACGAAGTGGAAATCAAGCAGATAATGTGTTGAGTTTCTAAATTATAAGCAGATTTCAACAAGAGAATGGCTTGTTATGGGAGCAATGGTGGGAGCCACGCAATAGAATGCTCAAGCTAAGTATAACTAATTAATAGTAGAATGACCAAGTATCAGAGCATCTTAGATTACTACAAGAAACGGTAATAGCTGCTTTAACGGTAAGAGCTATCTTTTTGATGCATCAACAATTGTGTCCGGACCTTGCTTGTAGCATAATGACAAATCTTAGAAATATGATAATTTATTAAATTGGGTAATTTAGTAATTTTGCATGTCCTTCATATTAAAAAGGTTTGTTACGAATTCACATATATAATAATGTGATTTTCTTATGATTAAATATTGAGATGTCTAGATCTCCGTACTTAATATTTTCTCCTATTCGAAAGAGACTCCGTTTCTATATGTGAGAAGTAAGAACTTCTAATTACTTTTTCACAATAATTTTTAATAAGAGATGTATAGAACGTGCTTTTTTACTGATTGCTTCATTGTGTTTTACTTGTTGATTTAGATTTCCATAATTGAGGAGATACCCATGGATGAAATCTCAGTAAGTCACGTTCATCGATTTAACTTTGGAATAATTACATACATAGCACCCAAACATTGATATTGATAAAATCTAGCACCTAGTGATATTTTTGAACTACCGAACCAATATATTTATGCTTGTCATGATCAACCCATTGAAAATTTAATAAAAATGAAAAATATGGGTTGGGGTTTTATCGTGAATTTTGATATTAGAGTGAGAATTTGAAAAATGATTGAAAGTTGGTGCTAGATTTATAAATAGTCATGTTTTGTGTGTTGTACATGTAAACAACCTTTTAATTTTCAGTCTAGTTGGTATGATACTGTCTAAATTGACTCGTACCACCCAATGTAGGCATGAATATTATTAAAGTTATAGTATGTAAGATAATATGAAATTTTTCTATGAAAACTACAAAATATGAAAAATTCCAATAAAATTTAAGAAGATTTAAAATACCTTTGACTCAAGTCGATTTCAAAGGATTTAAGCTTTATTTTGTATTAAAGTAAAATATGCAAATGATAGATGGGTTGAACATATCCATGTTGTGCATGGAGCCTGATTGGCAGCACCAAGGAACACCCATGAGGGTTTCTTGCACATCGCACCCGCACTTGGACGACACTCCCACTTGTACAAGTAGACAACAAGAAGCGGGCTTGTCCATATAAGGTGCTTGCGTTTGGGTTTGTAGTAACATGCGTTGAAGTTTGGGTTCCTTTGCACCTGACTCCAAAGAATGCAACACTCCCATGCACAGCAGCA